AAGTAGAGGAATTGCTGGATCAAAAGGTATTTCTATTTCCAACCTTCAGAGGAAGCGCCATATTGCTTTCCAGAGTGGTTGGACCATTTTGCAATCCCACCGACAATGTAGGAGGGTCCCAGTCTCTCCACATCTTCGCCAGCATTTATTGTCCTCGACTTTTTTGGTCTTTCCTGTTGTTGCTGGTGTGAGATGGTATCTCATTGTTGTTTTGATGTGCATCTCTCTGGTGGCTAGTGATGGTGAACATTTCTTCATATGTTTGTTGGCTGCCCGGATATCCTCCTTGGTGAAGTGTCTGTTCACATCCTGTTCCCATTTCTTAATTGGGTTATTTGTCTTTTTCTTGTAGAGGTGTTGTAGTTTCCTATATATGTTAGAAATGAGTCCTTATCTGATGTGTCGTTGCAAAAGAGTTTTTCCCATTCTGTGGGTTTCCGTTTTACTCTTTTGGTGAAGTCTTTTGATGCACACAAGTTTTAAATTTTTAGTATGTCCCAATCATTTATTTTGTCTACTTTTGTTTGTGTAATTTTCAAAATGTTTGGTAGTCTGTGTATGTCCTGAATTAGAGCCCTCACATTTGTCCCTATTTTTTCATTGATGACCTTCATAATTTTGGAATTCACATTTAGGTCTTTAATCCATGCTGAGTTCGTTTTTGTATAGGGCATGAGGTAAAGGTCTTGTTTCAGATACAGTATATTTTTGTAGTGTTTCTTTGGAAACAAAAATCTAGGTGCATCTGAACAGCTGGAGGCTGGTTTTGCAGTGTTCAATCTCCAAGGACTGTAATCGATTCTAAATGATAAAGACCAACCTTCAGATAAACAAATGCAATTGCATCTCCCCCATCTACTGCAGGCTCCTCAGAGGCAATGAAAAGCTCTTTATGAAAAACATTCTTAGGTTTGAATCTATCACACCTATTTTTGTAGTTGCTTATTTAATAGCATGTGCTGATGGCAAGAACTGAACTGTTTGGGTATAAAGAACTGTCAAGTTTCAGCATCTAAGCAACATACGCTATTGTTAGGTGCCGTCAAGTTGGTTCAACTCATGGTGACTCTGTAAGGATTTCCAAGAGTGGCTGGTGGGTTTGAACTGCTGACCTTGTGGTTACCAGTTCCATGCTTATCCTACCACAAGCACGATAAGCAGCAGATAAGACTGTATAATCATTCCAATGATTTGAAGCCTTTTTTGAAAATCAGTATTTCATTGACAAAAAACAGATTACAGACATTCAAGCAAGAAAGCAAGTATTGTATTGGCTGCTGCTGCTGCTGTTTCTTAGTTGCTTTT